GGTCAGATTGTAGCCTGTTGCTTCCTTCTAGTGTGCCCACGTCCCCCCACATCTTAGTGTCATCAGCAAATTTGAACAGGGTGCTTTAGAACATGTTCTATAGAACAGTACTTCTCAACCTGTGGGTCACAACCCAAAGGTGGTTCACAAGAATATACAAAAGGGTCGCAAGTAAACTTTAACAATGGATTCTCCTTTACAGGAGAAAAATTTGGGAAACCGTGGCTTTTCCCTTGCAGGCTGGCAGACTTCCAGCCTGCAAGAGGCTGTTTGGGCTCCCTATACCCCCACACACTCCGCCCATGGCCCCACATGCTGGGAGTCTGAGGCTTGGGAATGGAGGCAGCAAGTCAGGAGTGAGGGGTACTGGATTTGGACTGGCCATTGATGTTTACAAATGGGCCGTGGCACAAAAAAGTTTGGGAACCACTGCTGTAGAATAACAGAAACTTTCAATTGTCCAGAATCATTCTTATACTCTTAATTTACTTACAGGTCCAAAGATAACATCAGCTGTTTCTGCTGGAGTTGCCAGTTCATTATCTGAAAAAATAGTAGACACCATTGGAAGTAATAGACCAAATGCACCCTTGACATCAATTCAAATTAATTTCATTCAAAATATGATACAAGAAACTCTGGATGATTTCAGGTACTGAAATCCAAGTACAGCCAGCTATTTCATTGACCTTGTTTTTCAATTCAATTTTACAGTTTAAGGTAACTTTTACACACACACTCTGAATTGTTGAACAAACCTTTCTGTTCTAGAGGATCAGAATTCTACTTTTTCATTTATATTGCAATAAATGGGGTTTGAATCTTTCATTGGTCAGCAAGCTGTCTAATAGTTGTGTTTATGCATTGCCTAACCTAATAGTGTCAGTGACAAACCTGTAAGCATTCATGTAATCTTGTGAGAATAGCTCCACTACTTCATTAGGGTGAGGCTCCTATTCAGGGGAGCAACTCAGAAACATAATTTATTTGCTTGGCTTGCTATCTGAGTACTTTTTGGGTTAGCTGAGATCTTCAGTTGAATGAAGTTTTTAATGTACCATGGAATCTTTTATTCTTTAATCCTAGGAATAGGAGCTTCTCCTTTGGGGATTAACCATTTTGGGATAAGGCAGGGGTGTTCAACCACTGACCTGCAGGCTAAATCCAGCCTGTGAAGCCAGAGCATCCAACCTGTGGGGCTCCCCACAGTTTGGGAACTTTGGCAGTAGGGGAGCAGTGGCAATTAATATTGCCACCCATCTCCAACTGTCAAAATAAACAAGGCACTTGTGGCCAGATCAGGCCTGAGATGCCTCCTCCCACTGCCCCACCCTGCTGCTGGATTGTGGCCGGGCCAGGCCATGCCATGCGATTGCCATGCAGTTGGATTGGGCCCAGGAGGCCTTCTTTCTTCCCCTTCTATAGCAGCCAGATAGGGACTAGGCTGGGCCACTGGTGCATAGCCGGGTTGGGCCTGGACTACCCCTGCATATCTGGACCAGGGTCTGGCTGTGTCCTCCTCCCCCACATAGCTGATTCAGGACTGGGCTGTTGCCACATGGCTGGATAGGAACACACCCTTCCCTTCCCCCAGTATGTCTGGGTCAGGGCTGGGATGCTCACCACACAGTTGGAATGGGCTTGAGCCCCATCTGTCCTGAGTGCTAGACTGAGTCTTTTGGACAGATCCAGCCCATGAACAGGCTGGATACCACCCACCTATCCTATGAGGCAAAATGGTTGGATATCACTGGGAAATTGGGTTTTTGGTACCTTAGGGTGCTTGTACATGAGGGCAGAGGCTTCTCCGATGTGCTGTAATTATAGCGCATGTGAGCAGACTCAATTAAATTAAGTCTGTTGGAGCATGATAATTATTGCGCTCCAGCCAGCCTCCACGTTTCATGTATCAGTGTCCCCACGCTTCAAAATGGTGGCAGGGGGTACTTGAGCTAAAGCTTGTTTGAAGGAGATGCTGTGGAGCTTTAATTACAGCAGCTCTTGGAGCTTCTCTAATTAAGCCCCCCTCCGAGCATGTGCAAAAGTGTCCCCAGGGATCCAATGCAATTCCATACTGAAATAAATTTAAAAGCTACTATAGATGTAGTGCAAAAGGTGAGGATTTTTGTTAGTGTTACTTCTTAATGGTCCACCTGTGTAATTTGTGTTTCTCCAAGCTCTACAGTTGGTCCAGTAAAAGAGATCATCCACAAAAATCTTTGCCTTGCTCATTTTTTCTGGCCTGTCACCACTACAACATCAGCCAGCCCTATAGACTTCATGGCAGTTATATCAGACCCAATATGTTTTAAGCTTTTTAGTGCTATCTTTTTTACAATTTCTGTATGTGTAGTTTAATTTGTTGAATCTAATGAACTTATGATATCTGAAACTTTTAAAAAATTAAGTGACGGGTTAGGTGTGACCAGGACCCCATCGGAGTTTCTCTACTTCACTTTTGCTTTTGTGTTCTGGTGAAAACATATTGAGCTGTTGGTGTGGCTTTTTTACTTACAAGGAAGTAAGTTGTTAAGGCAACGCCTTGAGCTTTGCTCAGTCTAGATAGCTGCAAAGCTATGGAATCAGTTGTTATTGACTGCAGCATTAAGAGAAATCTTACAGGAGCAGCTTTACATAAAAAGAAGTACCCAATATCAAAAATGAAGAAGATTGGTTGGCATTGATTTATTCCTGCGTGTGGAGCCATTACTGAAAGTTCTTTTGCTTCACTGAAGCAAAACATCCCAAGGCAAGCCAGAGGGATGGCTTTTTGCTTCTTGGCACAAAATATAGGGAAGTGAGCCAAAAATATATTACATTTCTTGAAATTCTAGATTTTTGTAAGTCATGACAGACTAGATGACAATAAAAAATAGTTCCTGTACTTCACTGTCTGGTGTCATTTTCCAGCTTTGTTTTTCTTTGGGGAAATTGGGAGAGTCCAGTGATTCTTCTAGTCAGAAAGCTGTCCCCCACTACCTGTCTAATTGTTTCCCCTTTCTCAGTTTTAATCTTTGTTTTGACCAGTAATCATTTTTAAAGAAACTCTGCTTTCTCCATAATAGATTTTAAAAAATGTGTTGGCTAACATGACACGAAGTCCTATCTAAGCAAGTGAAAGGTGACCTGAATATAACCAAGACAACTGTTTGCAAAGAGCCTGGAATAGCTTAGACTGTGAACTGCACCATTTCTTTCAATGGACAGTTATTCTGATGCCAGTAAGGCTGCTGAATTAAAAAAAAATTATTATCATTATTTCTTTAATCCTGTGGATTGTTAACTATTTCAGGGCCAAAAATATGTAAGAAAGGGAGAGGTGTAGGGTTTTTAAAAACACATGGTAGCACTGGCAATGAACTTTATTGATTAAATTTAATATGCCTGAAAAGAATTTTCCAAAGAGAATTTCAGCCCTCCCCCAACCTGCTGTTCCTCCCACAATCTAGAAAGGCATTTTTATTCAGGAATGGGTTTACACTGAAGACTGGAGTAGCTGTTTTGATGCACTTACCAACATGGAGCAGCTCTCAGTCAGTCCCTTTTTGTAGGTGATGGCAGTAGTCTTCCCAGAACTCCTGGTCCAATGTGATCAAACACTAGGTGCTGTTATATCAATCCTGTATAAATAGAGTAATAGAATCATAGAGACGTGGGGCTGGAAGGGGACCTCCACAGGTCATCCAATCCAGCCCCCTTCCTGAGATTAGGATCATACCCATCAAAACCATCCTGTACCAATCCACAGTCTAACCTCTTATTAAAAATACAGTTACCCCAAATCTTCTAATTTCTTTTTTGTTGTTTGTTTAAAACACTTTTTAGTATGTGGCATGTTGTTGGTAAAAGCTATATATGGCATGAGACTGAATATTTCTTTCTGTCTTGGTGTTTTTCCACCTACCCCAGAAATGTTCCCTTTTATTTGTATTTAAGAGGAAAAAATGCTGTAGCTTTTGTTTTAATGTAGAGAAGATAACGTAAGAAAAGTAACTTTTCTGATTTCTTGCCAAATGTATTTTTTTAATCTTTTTTTCCCTCCCTCATCCTATCTCCAATTTTAATGAAAATGGCTGTACTTCCACCTCAAGGAAATTCTAAGGGAGTCATGTTAGAATTTAAACTAACTAAAGAGAAACCTTTTTCTGCTTCAGATAAGTGAGTTAGCAAGGAAGGAAGGATTAGCCACCTACCAGTGGAAGTGAAAGAAATATATTTGAGTAGGAAAAGAAAGGTTATGATTTTACTGTGGAGGATGGAGACTTGGAGACAAAAGAGGCTTAGCATTATTGTTTTGTACAGGAAGTGCATGCATGCCTTGTTTTTGTCATTTTGGATAAGTATGTGTGGTATGATACAGTGCCATGTAGAAATAGTTGTGCTAGCTCTGAATGAGTTAGCTTGGCTACCAAGGGCAGTATATCCAAATTAGAACAGTGGTCTGCCCAGGCTAATATAACCTACTGAACAGGGCTAATCAGCTCAGGAAGAACATCACCTAGACATGGCTCTGCTGCTTCAGATACCCAACCTGGCTTGTTCAGAACTAGCTTTGGTATATCTGTGTTGCATTTCATAGTGCCGTGTAGACATACCCCTACATTTTTATAGCACAACTTACTGGACATTTGGACATACCAAATGTTAGATACTATCTTTGTAGGTCAAACTTGAATAGTTTATGAATGGTTATATGTTGCAAGCAATAGCAGGAGTCTAAACTTGATAATGCAGGATAGTGAATTCACAATTGGCACTGGCATTATGTAGATGAAAAATACTTGAGGCAGTCTTTGAGATATTTGGTTTGAGGCTCTACTTTAGGCAGTACTCTGGTATCAGTCTCATGTCTCCATTTAGTGTGAGTTCCATACTTGAAAAGTCATGAGCGTGGCTGGCAAAGGCACTGTCATCAGCACAAGCAAATTTTCATGAGCCAGTTGCAGGCAGGTCATTAATGTACAGGTCAAAAAAGAGAGGTGCCAGTTCTGATCCCTGAAGGAAGCCATTGGTTTGATGTCTCTGAGAGTTAGTTTGGCCAGGTGGACTCTAAAGTGTTGACCACATAGTAATAGTTGAACTAGTTAAACAAGTGGCCCAATGTGGCCGCATTCCTGATTATTTTTGCGGCAGGGGCAGGAGGAGGAGCCACTGCCGGAGGTGAGGGGAGCCAAGCAGCAGCCGTACCAAGACCAGCCTCACCAAAAGCTGTGTGCACTGGCCAGGACTGGGCTGGCAGGTGCAGGCTGCCCTAAACGGGGCTTGGCCTCATGCGGAGCACCACAAGGGTAACCGTGGCCCAGATCCAATCAGTTGGTTGGGTCTGGCCCATGGGCTGTATTTTGCCAAACCCTGCTGTAGTCTCATATTTTCTGTCCATTAACTTAAGTATTGGAAGACTAGGAAGGGGAGACTGGTTTGATCCATACTTCATTGACTACAGCTGTTCTTTGCATTAGATTTTGATGGAACAGGCTCCAGTACTTTCCTCCAAACTCCTAAGTTTTTGATAGTTCAAAGTTTGTTGCTAAGAACTCCTGAGTGCTGAGGATTGGGGGTTATGTGGAAAGCTCTTGAACCATCATTCCATAGGATTCATTTCGTCTCCAAGTAGTAATAACTACTATAACATATAAACTTTGCTAGGGCCCAGAAATGAGAGTCTCTGGTGGCTGTGCACAGTAATCTCCCAGTACAGTTTTTGAAGAGAGAAAGCCCTGGCAATAAGAAATATGCACCGAGTGTGCTCTAAGAAAAACTAAGGTTACTTACCAGTAAAAGGGATTTTCAGTTAGACTACCTGTGCTGGGTTTATGCTTACATAATCTGGAATATTCACTAGATTTGAGAGAAATTTGACATGGCTTGTTGCATAATCTGTTTTCTAAACACTGGTGCAATAAGCAGGTACCTTCCCAGACTGTGGACTGATATTGAAAATCTTATACTCCATTAAAGGTGAATGACTTCAGCTGAATTGAGAATCACTGTTATGTATAGTGCTGTGTGAACAACAGAGCTTAAAATTTAAATTGAATAAAAATACAATATAAATCTAAGAGAAACCTGTAATGTGCAGATGAAAATACCAAATGTATTTTATTGACATTCCCTGTCCTATAATCAACAAAGAGACAAGGGTTTAAATGTTCTATATTGCTCTTAAATGCCTTTTTTTTTTCCCCGAGGGTTTAAAAAGTGACATATCACAGCAGCTGGTCTGCTGAAATTGGGTGATGTGAACAGATACAGACCATACTGAATTATTTCATAACTCTGGTATTTCTGCACCAATTAGGAAGGGGGGCAGTAGGAGTCCCCACTTTTGTTTCTATGATATTCTATGGTGGTGGGGATCAAGTGGAGCAGCTTATGTACTTTGGAATGAGAAGAGAATTACAATTTGTGAAATTGACAGTGAAGATAAGGTATAATTTGGGTTTTTTATTTGTCTCCCCAGAGAAGCATGCCACCGAGACATTGTGAATTTGCAAGTGGAGATGATCAAACAGTTTCATGTGCAGTTAGTAAGTACAAGCATCAATGTGAATTAGTATTTAGATGATAGTTTTTGTGCTAGTAATGAAGTGTGGCATTCACTTTATGGTCAAAACTCAAAAACAAGCATATTCCTTTGCATCCTAAATAAAGAAATGTACAAGAGAAATGAATGGGAAGACACCTGAATATTAGTTTGTGTTGATCTTTCTCAGGCTGAACAAACCTTAGATATTGAAATCTAATAAGCTATTAAAAGACGAACTAAGTTAACTAATTATTTTTTGATAAATGAGACACCAAAGAGAAACTGACTAGCATTGGTTTCTCCTTTCACTCTTCTTCTTCTTCTCTGGCTGTGCTTTGTGCTAAGAGAAGCAGATCTATTTTTGTGTTCTCAGCTGGTGCTGACTGCACAGTGTAATGCAAAACACTTGTGTGGGGGATATCCCACCTACATACTGTCTTAAAACAAAATCAGTGTTGTTTGCCTTTGCATTATGCTTTTTTTTTTAAGTGCTTCTTACCATATCTATATTCCCATGAAGAGAAATACTGGCCTGTGGCTTAGGAATACAATTTAAGGTCATAAACTACTATAATATAAACAACAAATAACCACCTCTTTTTATTCAGGTCACCTGGGCTGAACTTTGACAGTCACAGACCACTAGTTTGGCTCTTTTGCTATGATCAGATAGGTGAAAACAAGTCCTGAATCTAACAACTCCTGGCTAAA